TTATCGATAATCAGACAGTTAATTTATTCGAAGAATGATTATTTTTTCATGGAGAGTATAATATTTCCCATTACATTGGGGAAGTTGCTCGTTTGTGAACAGAAAACATTGAACACATGCACTGTGCCACTGTTTCCGCGGAAACTTTTTTCAGTCTTGTATTATATTCAGAGTTACTCATTTGTAAACATTTTGTATCCAGAAAGTCTTTTTCATTCTCAATGAACAAAATTATTGAAGAATCAAATGCCCCACTAATATTAATATCATTATTAACAAAATTATCAAGATTGATAGGTTGACAAGACTAAAAAATAAATAGGGGTACACTAAAGTATACGAAAATTGCATACCCAAAGGGATGGAGATCACATCTAAATTTTCGTGTATTTCAGTTTACTCTTATTTATTTTTCAGTCTTGTTGGAAGTTGCTCGTCTGCGAACATATTGAATGCATGGAGTTTTTTTTCATTATTGGACAACAATATTGAAGATTCAAAGTTCCCAACAATATTAACATTATTAACAAGATTATCGGTATACAACAGAAAAACGGAATGTAGTCATCTTCAACATCTTCACCATCTTGGTCACAATACCTGCAATTTTACAAAATATTAAAATATAGGTTACCTATTATAACCTAACCTATGATTATTACAACACAACATGTGAACATATTATATTATTATGATTCTTAACGTCATACCTACATACTCATACTATACTAATATAGTCGAGTCTCGATAACTCCAAGTGGACGGTGTATGAAAATTCGTTTCAGGTGAGATTCAATTTTGAGATATCTAATTAGTTGAGAGCAATAAGAATTTCTAAGTGAATAAAAAACAAAATTCGAGATGTCAAGTTTTTCGAGTTATCGGCTTATCGTGACTCGGCTGTATAAAGTATATAATACATTACATTTGTCGAAATTTTGATTCGTGGCCAGTGCCCAATGGGCTACAGATTGGCTATTACYTGCAGCGGTCAAATTTGTGAGCAGAGAAGGTGGTGTGTATTTACTCCCCCTTTCCTACGCAATTAAGCACTTAATTATCTACGACTAATATGTATTAATTCTTATAKAACCTGTCCACACTAAAACGTTTAAAACGGATACTTCAGCAAATATAAAATCRAAACACATCTTCTTAGAGAAAGTAATCAAAAAAGWATAAGCATGTACAATAAATAAATAATGTATACATAGCGTCATAGCCACATAGGTAATAGGAATAGCTATACTATCTATTGTGGTGTATTAGTGTGTAGTTTGAGGTTTGAGCAGTTTGAGGTGATCAGCTAGAGAATGTAAGGTATTATTAAAATTCATATMGAATCGTGTATATAAATATAATCATCATAAACTCTACAATTAATTTGAATCGTTATCTATACCAAAATAAATCGCAATTAAATTAGTATTTAAAGCTATATACAGTACTCTGTATTAAGCTACAGGGTTATCACTGCAATATATTATATTGTTACCGATAATAATGAAAACTCATATTAACTGTGTTTATCATTAATAATATAAGGTCATAAGGATAACGGGCTGAGGTATACCTATAATTATTGGAAAATCATAACTCACTGAGCGTACGTGTCGGTGCTTTCTGAAGTCTCGTTCGAATCTTCCGGCTGTATCTTCTGCGGAAGGCTCTCGCCATTTATTGACAACGTACTATGTAGCTGCTGCTGCGGTGAGCTCGTTGGATTACACAACAGAATGYTTTCATCAATCTCGTCGACAGAGGTCTGGTCGTTAGAGTGACAGAGAGTAGGCTGCGGTATCAATTCAGTTTCTGTRACCGCGATATAAACTTCAGAGGGACTGGGCGCAGGGTTAGGCGCCGGTTGAGTCCGAAAGATTGGACCAGCGATCGACGGAAATCTATCGATTGCGTACGCTACGGGCATGGCAACAGCAGTCAGTGCCATCGTCAGTAACGTCGTACACAAGAGGACAACAAGCATATCTTCTTTATTCATCAAAATATACTTATATACAACACTACACAGGTATATAAAATATGACGCTGTAATACAGAAATAGTATCAAGATATCTAGTGAATGTAATAGGCGTGTAAACGTTATTTATTTAATAAACATCACCTATGTTACAGAGTCTATATGATAAGAAATTCTGGTAAGAAATTGCAATAGGATAATATTGGCTATTGGATTAGTGTGTAGCTTATAAAATCAGTGTTGAATCCAGGTATTCTTATAAAAAATTTCTTACAAATACAACTTTCTGACTTTCAAAAAAATTTACTTATTTATTAAATGCACAATACTAATTTAAATATAAATAATTAATAGGTTTCTAATAATTTATTTTGTAATTTTTTCAATATTTATAATTTCTGAATTGTAATAAATTATAATAATACAATTTATAATATGTGATGACCTTAGATTAACCTTAGACTGATTTAAAAATTTGAAA